AAATAAATAAATAAATAAAACCGAAAGTCACTTCAAAACGACCCTCCGAGCAAACTTCGGAGCGCTCAAAACGACCTTCCGACTTCTGGTTTGCTCGGAGGGTCGTTTTGATTGCTCCGGAAGCCTCCTGAAGGTTCCTGAATCCTCCGGAGGGCGTCCGGGGTGGGGGGAGCATGGGAGGCTGTTTTCGCCCTCCTCAGGCTCCTATAAAGCCTCTGGAGCCTGGGGTGGTGGTGAAAAAAGCATGCAAAAAATGGGGGAGCGCCTGTAGTGCGCGCATGCGCACTGGGGGTGGTCACGCATTGCATTATGGGTGCGGCATGCCTGGACACGACCCCCCTGTGCTCCCCCCACTTATGGCACGCGAGCCAAAAAATATTCGCCATAGTTGCTTGAGGGCCTGGGGAGAGTGAAAAATGGGCCTTCCGGTCCGACCAGAAGTCAGCAAATGAGCCGTTTTCAGCCTCTGGAGGGCTTCCGGGGGGCGAGGCCATTTTTGCCCTCCCCAGTCTCCTAGAAAACGTCTGGAGCTTGGGGAGAGTGAAAAATGGTTGAATCAGAAGCCAGCAAATGGGCCGTTTTCGGCCTACGGAGGTCCTCCAGGGGGGGATGAGAAGGCTGCTTTTGCCCTCCCCAGGCTCCTAAAAACAGTCTGGAGCCTGCGGTGGGCGAAAAATGGGTCCACCATGCCATTGCGTGCCAAAAGTGGGGAGAGCACAGCTGCATGCGCAGGGGAGGGCTCATAGAATTATGAGTTGGAATGTTTGTTTATTCAACTTGTATGCCACCCTATTCCCGAGGGACTCAGGGTGGCTAACAAACCAAAGGGAAGGGGAATACAAACAGAACACAAGACAAACAAGATTAAAACAAAACAACAGTCACAACAGTTTAAGTGGGGCCAGGAACTCGTCAGCCCCAGGCCTACTGGAACAGCCAGGTCTTAGTGGCTTTGCGGAAAGCCGGAAGGGTGGTGAGGATCCGGATCTCCACGGGGAGATCGTTCCAGAGGGCCGGAGCAGCCAAAGTTCAGGCATGAAAATTGGGCTAAGGCTTGTTTTCGGGGTAGGTTGTGTTTTTGGGAAAACAGAGTATATCAGTTTCTTTTGCAGAATTGGAGGAGTTTATTTTGGTAATGTCCTGGGGATGACATTGCCCTTT